ATTCCCAGTCTTTCGTTGGCCTGCGTTCGTGTAAGTAGAAGTCATCTGCTTTTCCGGTTACCGTACCGCAGACAAATGTCCATACGTTGATTATTTATCACACTGAGCCTTTTTGCGTGTTCCTTTATGGGATTCTCGTAATAGTATAAACCCAATTATTTCAGGATATTCCGAACTGAATGTTTATTAAATCCTACTTAATAAGCGTATTGGAAAAGAGACCAATATTTCATCATACACCGGTAAATTTGCTTACGACACTCGTTACTCTATAAAACGTATAGCTAACTACGTTAATTTCTCTGCACATGATATTGATTTTTTCTTTGGCTCTGTATAATCGCTTAAAAATCATTAATACAAAATATACAGAGATAACTGTAGCACACTTTGATTACTTTAGGTGCTTACCGGTGTAATAAATAAATTATTATTATTATTATTATTGTTTACAATTCCGTTGGTATTGTGGTCTTAAAAAATTTCAAGTTACTCGATCAATGTTATTGTATTGTAGTTTGAACGCCGATTAAGTTTAAATGCTCTCAGAATCAGTTCCCCCCGGTATTGCTAATTGGTTCCACTGGCAAACAGATAACGTAGAATTCCCAATTCGGAAACTATAGGTTGTCATCAGTGAATTCTAATCATTGTGCTCTTAATAATAATAACATTTAACCTGGCCCCGTTGTGTCATTGTGATTACTATTGTCAATATGTACCAACTACTGTCGTTACCGCCACAAATACCGTGCGTATTACAAGTAAGAATAAGTAATAATTTTAGTTAATATTATCACCGGTAATTATTACATATATCATCTTAGTGGAACTACCAAAATTAACATTACATGTTTTACTGTCTCTATTAATTTCCAATTCACTACCCCATTTTCCGACATCTCGCATACATCTTTCCTAATAATGGCCTTCCAATTTTATTTCTCTGTTCGTCCCTCTGTGGTACTCACCTACTTTATACTTATGTACTTCCTTCGTTAATTACATCCATCTTCCGTACCAGTTACAATATTTACGCTCTTTATCCTAATTTTATGTAACCAACTATTCCAACCATTCCGACTATTCCAACTACTCCTTTTATCGAAAAATATTTCGTTATGTTTTCTCATTGTAACCACATCCCGAATAATACGAATTTGTGCAATTAGGAAATTGCTTTTAATTACCTCTAATATCATCGGGGAAGATTGTCCCACGCCATTCGCACAGCGCCGCCTCTACTCGCGTTCATAACCTTATTATCGCTCTCGCCTCCCGCCATTTTTCTTTGCTTTTTACCTTTCTCTCCTTACGATTGCGCGAGAATTCCAGAATATCCGTCGAAGCTCACGAGAGTCACCGGATCGATCGGAGTAAATGGGGATAATTAATCTTCGCTCGAACAATGATCAAACATGTGGCGTGCCGTCGACCACGATCACCGTAACCAGTGATTCGTATGTGAAATTTGCCGAACTATTAAATCCGACTATGCTCGCTGACCCTCTCTATTTTCAAGTGTTTTTCTACATGGGCACACAATGTGGCAGATGCACCCAATTATCTTGATCCCCGACGACAACCATCATATCCCAAGAACAAAATATCCCTTTTCAGTTTTGTGTTTTGCCCACCCATCTTTTTTCGATGGAGTATTGGATGGGGCAATGGAGTATTTCACGAAAAAAATTAAATAGAATCCAATTAGTAAATATTTGTACACTGGTAATTGATTAATCACGAACTCCTAATTGCTCCTAAAAGTAATGAACGCTCGAGGATAACCGGAAGAAGAGAGAGAATTTCGTAATTTCACCGCTGGAATTACCCGAACATTCTCCGTCAAAATACGGCCGTTAGATTCTGAATACACATAGAACAGCGATTCCGGTAGAGAAGTGGCCTTCGCCGTCGATGTTATTGCCAACGACAAGAAACTGATCGAAACTCAGGCCCGATTATAATTAAGAGCCGTACGGCAAAAGGCAAGAGGGCATCGAGATGGGATACGAGGCGAGTCGCTGGTTAACTTGTGTATTTACGCCGGTGGTTTTTCAATTTATCGAACCAGAGAAAATATTCGATTTAATTTGACCAATTATGTATTTTTGGTTAAATCACGTGTCTTCCCTCTTCGGTCATTCTCTTTACCTTCGAACAATAGGTACCTATATGTACATGGACGTAGCCAGGTTATCAGTCGAGGGGCGGGGGGGGGGGGCAAAAATATTAACCCATCGACTGCCACAGTGAAAAAGGCTGTACGTAGCCAGACACGCTTTATTTTATTTTTAATGTCATAAATTGTTGAAAATGTATGCGTTTTGTTAATAGAGGCTATTGTGGTCGTGTTTCAAATTATACTGCAATATTAAATATTACGCAAAAATGTTGTAACTCCGGAAAGGGGGGGATGGGGCAAAATCGAATTTTTTTTCTTGTAAGGTGGAGCAAAAGCCACTTTTCTCCGTACAGAGGGGGCAAATGCCCCCCCCCCCCCCCCGGCTACGCCTATGTATATGTACGTCTACCATTTCGTACCGATGCTGTCGTTTCAATTTCATATGAGAACTCACGCTCTATGAGTAAAAGCCAACGTTTTTCTGCATATACATCCAAAGCAGAAAGTAGAATGTATGTATGTACATATGTCAGGTACGTTAAAAATTCCCTCGAACATCTGCCGATTTGCAATGAAATTATACAGCAATCAAAGCAGTAACGGCGAGAAATCAGAGGAACTTCTCCTCCAAGCTTCTACAGGTGCTCGATTATCGGCACACTCGAGGAAATATCGAGAAAAGTCTGATGGTTCGTTGAGAAGAGAACGGTGCCAGGCACAATTTGCCCAACTGGATTTCAGACCGACGAACGATAGGCTGGATGACGACAGTCGAATCAGAAGCGATTCGAAGTTATTGCAGGGAGGTTGTAATTTCCGGGAAGCGAGCGTTTAATGTGGCAGGGCTAGTTGGCAGAGGGTTTGGGCGACATCGAACAAATACGATAAGGAGCGTGCCTCACGCCTCCGAACACAGCGGTCAACCGCGTTTAATCAATCTTTATTTACGACGAATCACGTTTTTGATGTTTCCACGAAGACGCATACTGTATTTTCAATTTCGACTGCACCAAAATATTCGCGTTAATTAATCTTTCAACATTAACATTCATCGAACGTGTTAATCTTACTGCCGACTAGTTTTCGTCAAAGAAACAGTCAAATCAGCCGCAGCCTACTCAATGTAATACTCGATTCTCTCGTTGAAAGTTACCCACGCAAATCCACCGTGTGAATTTGCAGTGTTCGTCAGACATAAAAAGACTAATTGTAAGAAATAAAACCTAGTACCATTTCTATAGAAGGTTAAGTCTCAAGATTAAAGAGCATGCTTGCTGTAATAGTTTATTTCGATATTAAACTAAAATAATCAGAACATTCATTATGCTTACCCAATAGTTCTCGATGCATTGCCCAATACAGGATGTAACAAAAGTGTTGTAGATCCCTGAAATGGGTCCCTCGTGAGATGATTTGGAACCAGTTTGTCCTTAGCAAAAATATTATCCGAGGCTTTGTTAACGAGATATTATGGAAAAACCCCGACCAATCTCACCATCAAGTCTCACGCTCTGATCGGTCGGGATTACAGCTTGTTTGAATAATCCATGGATTATCCTCTTTCGTGTGGAACATGAAACATTTCTGCATTACATATTCCTGGACGTAACGATTGAACTAGATTGAACGCCAATTGACGCCAATTCAAAAATCTGAAACAGAGCCATCTATCGTATACTTCGACGACTGCATGCACCGAATTCAAATTGTATTATACAGTATACAACTTCCACACAACTACATATATGTAATTGTGTTTACATAATTTTTAATAAAAAAAAACAAAAACAAATTTTATTATGTAATATCGAAAATCTTACTGATTATCACATTCGGGAGTTGGTACAACGTTAAATAATTTAGTTAAAACAAAACAGTCATATATGTAATTAATATAAATTCTATTTTCATAACCATAATTTTATCATCATTTGTCTTTTATTTTATTGAACTAAAGCATGTACAGTCATTACGATAAATAAATTATTCGATCGAATTTGCACGAATAAAGAAGCTACATGAAACGACGAACATGATCTGTTTGAAATATTTTTCCATTTATTACACCCGTAACAAATACGAGATAATTGAAACGCAATTACAATTCCATCTGGCACATGGAACGTTAATTTAAACACTAAATCGAAATAAATTCGTTCGAACGAGACGCAATTTTATTTTACACGTACCTATCGTATTGTCATGAGAGCGATTCAATTAAATCCGTTCGTCGCGCGGCAAATTTCAAAACTCTTTCCTTTTTAACAGGAACGTAATGAAATATCGCATTACACTTAAAGGAAATTGTGTATCTGGCATCCAGTTTAAAACTATTTTCTAGTTACATAACGATTAACAAACAACTAAGATATATTTTTATAGAATTGCTATAAACATATAACGACCATTTCATTCTTATGAAATTTATTCAGGGTACAGTAATTCTATCGTTATGCACTGAATTGATTTTCTTGGTTAAGTTTTCACTATTTTTACGCCTGCTACCGACGCCGCGTACACAGGTAAGAGACCGGAATGATTTGGTCCAGTTAATACGCGTTGAGCCGACCATTTACGGCGACGATAACAAAAAATAACTCTCGCTCAATACCGCAACGTCCGGCACACGACCGTAGGTACATACATTAACACAAACAATTTATCTTCAATCTTCTACCAACTCGTTATTACGTTGTAAACGTGGAAAAGATTACAGCTATTTGCGGTAACTTCATTAACTGGTGTATTGCATGAGGTAAATACTACCAGGTTGCAACGAACATTGTGGCAAGTCGTATAAATCATTTTCATCCTCGCGTTCGCCTAAAAATATTTACCGTCAATGCTTTAAATAAGGAGAATGAAAAACACCATGCTGGCTAACAAATTAATTGTGTAGTTTATTTTATTCGTATATATAAATATACATGCAGCAGTCATGAGAGAATTGAAGAATTCGTGTAATACGTTTGTATAGGACTTATGTACACATACAGAGTTTGTTGAAATTGAAATGTACCAATGGAAATAAAGTGGCCGAACTTGTTTGTATGGACCTTTCTTTTCCATATTGCGAGGTTTCACATAGACTGCTACGATGAAATTCAATAATTATTCGCAAATGTATTTCTAATAATATTCAAAGCGTCTAAATTGATTTTTCCGGGGGTTACCACCTTCGTGCCAATCATAAATATACAAAATTCCGTTTCGAATTCAACCGGGGTAGAAATAACTGCATAGAAATCAGTAGTCCAGACCTGCTTACCTTGCAATATCCTTAATGAATACCCGGTCGCTGCGAAGTACAACGACTAGATACTCGATACGATCGATTCGGTACTACACTCACTAACAACAATAGGAAATACAGTACGTTATTAATAATTGCATTAAATTCATCGTGCGTGGTAACGAAAAAGAATGTTACGGAAAGTATTATCGAGATCAATAATCCTGTACGGAGTCGTAATTATTGTAGGGAGGGGGATCTGGACGACCTTCTGGAATCCTGTATTTTTCTTCCACTTCTTGCTCATTGTCGTCTTCGTATTTTACAGCGGTGAAGTAAGATCCAGACGATTGGAAGGTATTACTGTAGTCAGGATAATCTGAAAATTTTTATGAGAGCAATTAATGCACCATGTATCGCCAAGCTGTGATTAGAAAACACGTAAGCTGAAACCACGTACCGTCCAAAGGTTCTTCTTTAATACGGATTTCTTTCGTATCCTCATCCTGACGATCGCCTCGATCTTTTCTATCTCTACGTTCACGGTCACGATCGCGTTTGTCCCTCTTGCGATCCCTATCACGATCGCGTTCGTTACTCCTGGAACGCCTCCTCTTACGATCACGGTCGCGGTCACGGTCACGGTCACGGTCTCTCCTATCGCGGGGTCGTTCGTCTCTTTGTATCTCTTCGATGTCAGGATCCGGTAAACGTTCACGGCTTCGTCTTCGTTTTCGATCACGCGACCTAGTTCTCGACCTTCTTTTACGCTCACGCGATCTTCTACGTTCTCTGTCCAAACGATCGCGATCTCTGTGGATATATGAAATATTATATTTTCAAATCAAGAACAGACCACCATGTGTCCACCAATTTTCAATAAGAATCGATGGCAGGGCACGGTACAGAAGCATTAAGAAACCAGCATTGTATCGTGCAAGAATGAAAATTGAACACTTACCTATCTCTATCGAGGCGTCCAGAAGTCTCCCTCTCCCGTTCCAATCGATACCGCTCCCGTTCTCTTTCATTATCTTCTCGGCCAGAGTGTTTAATATTCACATCAGGCCCGCCCCTTCGCGTTCCACCAAGACCACCGCCGAGTCTCCGCGGAAGCCATCCCTTCACGGTCCTAGCCCGTTCCACGTCGACCAACACTCTGCGACCATCTATTTTCTTACCATCCGCATGCTTATAAGCAGCTAAAAGTACCGATTGAGAATTACCAACTGATCGGCTTGCTAAACACTCTATTTGAATACACTATGGGACTTCTACTATCCCAGGGATAAAAATTTTAGGTGGCAGAAAAGACTTTCTGAAGAGTACTTCGCTTCTTTTACTTTCAAGCAAACGTCGCGAATAAGGCAGTGTGCCTCGTAGAAAGGGAATCGATTTACCGATTAATCAGATTCTTTTTTCTCTTTCGTTTTATTTTCACTGAAAATTCAGTAGACGTGTCAAAATGAATGATTCACGAACACCGGGTACAAGGACGTCCCGTGAATTCGATCGACAAAACAAAAATGAAAAGACCGCATGCGACCGACGTACTCGCAGTTAAATATATATATATATATATATATGTATATATACATATATAGTATACATATTAATTGGCCGATATTCTTTACTTTTTCAATGGGTTTTTTGTTGCGCGACGATTGTATCACCGGAACTGATGGTCATCAGGGTTTCTCGCGAAGATAATCAGGGTCGTAAGGTATCGGCACATGTTATTTCTGATCACGTCCGTACCGGATGCAACGCGTGTCATTTTATAAAGTAAAATGCGACAGTACGTACCATGACGATATAAATATCCCCAAAATCGAACCACCGTTCCAAATGATTTTCGTATTTAGAAAAACATACACGACCAACGAAACCATGGCTTCGTGTTAAGCGAAGCGTACAAAGCGTACAACGAGTTACATCAGCATCGCTATACACGTGTACCTACGCCGATGAAACAGGGCCGACATCGCGTACCGTGCAACATCATTTTACCGTATAAAACCACGAACTCTACGTTACACACGCGGCCCATGAATCAGCAATAAAACGTACGGAATTTTTCGGTACCTTAAATCTACAAGTTTGTAAAGTTCAAAAAGTATAGCAGATACAAAAATACCTACCGCGGCTACTTACGTACGGAAGTTAACACAAATCGTTAGAGGTACTTTTAATCGTGAAATGAACTCGTAAGAGACTCGCGAGCATAGAGTAGGCCAGCGCGTATGCTATTCATTGGGAAGGTGCCCAGTCTTCATATGTTCGTTCAATCTCCGAAGAAGTTTACTTTTCATTTACCTGGTGCGCTTTGTTTCTTTTTACTTACGACCAAACCGTGTGCGCAAGTATCGTGTATGCTTTATACTTTGCATTTACATTGTGCTCTAGTTCATACATTAATATTTAACGTAACGTTAAACCGAATTTATCTTTTTCTAATAGTTCTCCTTTGATTTCTTTTTCTCGTTCTTCCATTTCATCTTACACGGGGAAGTTCGACTACACGGCGAAAAAAATGTGCCGTTCTCTTTTTCGAACGTTTACACTTAATTTCAAAAAGTCACGCTCCATTTGCTTGTCTACACACACTATCCAAAGAACTAACCGATTCCAGGTGAAACATCCGATAATCAGATTCTTAGGATAAATTAGTATTCTATATCGAAATTGATATGTTCAAGGACTTGAATGACTGGATGATCCTCCGAGTAAGATGAGAACTAGCTATTGTAAAAGTTTAGTAAAACGAAAACAGCAACGAAATAAGATGTTCGAGAAACAATAATCGATTGGTTCGAAACATGCATTTTGGTACTAGTAGACCTAACGAGAAAACATTTTCTTTCTTTGCTTCTATACTCCATATGGTGTCCAATATTTCGCTTGGTACACGTTTTCGCGAGGAGTATGTGAAATGGACAGAAGTTTAACCTACAAACAGATTATTATTCTCCCATCGCTAAAAAAATGTATAGGTGCTACAACCAAGACGTGCTTATAATATGCTGTATTACCCAGCGATGCGTAATTGTTAATGTAGTTTTGTCGGAAAGATGCGGTTAAATTTTGCTCAAGGATAATCGAGTATCTCCTACATGTAGCTTGATTACGATGTTTGTAGTCTACCTTTATGTACAGGCACAAAATCTAACTGCTTGCAGAGCGTGTCCCTGAACCTTTTTCCTAAAAGCCCATCAATCAATTTCAATGTAGAATGCTAACTTTTGCAAAAACCGTGTTGTTAAAAATAACAGAAATTTATTAACCCAAATATTGTGCGATCGGAAAAACTCTTCTGACTCCCAACACTTTAAGAGTGTGGCCATTGTCTATCAACTGCCCCTGCAAGGGTATACTTGAACCGCAAGTTTAACAAAAATCAGACAAGATAAATAGGGTAAGCATAGACGCTAACAAACGTTGTTGTATGTTGGATCTTACCACACATACAAACCTATCATATCAGGCAGGTTCAGGGATTTTGCATGGAATAGTGAACGGCACTAGTTGCCGGCAGCGGCCACCACGCTGTACCAAGAACAAGATAAAAACTGCATTAATCAAGACAGCCAATATTTCGTTTTTCAGTTGATTCGTTTACCATATATGCATTTACAGAATGGTAATCCTGCATGGATGTATGGCGGGACCCCCCATACCGTCTGGTTTAGTACCAATGAAAATAGGTAGCCTAACTATAGCCCTGCCCCACTATATCTAGCTGGAAGTGACGCTAAGTAAGGTGAAATTCCAGACTATGGACTCACTGAGGTTCTCAAGAAGGGATTATGTTTCTCGGCTTTTACTTACAGTGCATATCTCTTTCATGCTCATACTCAATGAAAGCATATCCTCTAGGCTTGCCGTTTATTGTATTGTGAATTACCACTATCTGTAAAATTAAAAAAACCCATCACGATAGGCAACACAATGAAAAGAAGAAAACTCCACTGTAATTATCAGCCCATTACCTTTTTCACTGGGCCATAGACTTCAAATTCCCTCCTAAGTTTGGATTCTGATGTATCATAGTTCTAAAAATAAAATATACTTATTTTAAAGCAGCAAGGTAACAATACCATTCCTACTACTAACGGGAGCTTAAAAGATTAGGCTCAAAGGATATCAGAAGACAAGAGCAATGTACCATTAGATAAGAGTTCACTTAGATTCATGTAAATTGTTTCTATAATATATGACCAAAATATCTAAACTCACGGCAAACATCAGTTGACTCCAACTACTACAGTATAGCACTACAGTTTTATTGTATAGTAACATTTTTAATTAAAAATAATACATACTATTCGAGCTACAAAGAGCGTCTTGAAAGGATCCGCAGTTACATTAGGAATGCCAGCAGGATCCCAAACAGCTATCTCTTGTTCTAGCTTATATGCCACTTGCTCGGCTCGTTCCCTTCTACGTCGTTCAAGACGTTCCTCCCTGGTCTCCACGCGAACCGGTGGTGGAGTGTCTTTGGGATTCTATATCGAATAAACGTTATTCCTTCGATCAATTACGCGCAACATTACATTCAACGAAAGCATCAAACATTTTGCTCCAAATCCTTGTGGACACTGATTAAAACAGAAAGTTTTGGGAGAAGTAAAACTAGCAGATTACATATACGTTACAATTACCTCAAAATATTTAAGGAATGCTCCAACGCCGATATAGCCTCCATTCTTCTTCTCGTGCGGGAGCTTGCTGGCGGGTGGTAAATACGGTATAGGATCCCGCGGAGCAAAAAGGGCTAACAAATTCGGCGGCAGGAACTGCGTCATTTTTCCAGGTACGGGGCAAATGCTACGCTTGGATGTTCAGTTCACGGAAAATATCGAGGCGAACAGCATCTTCGTGTTCCAAACACCAATACAAAATGGCGACGGTGTTGCCAACAATTTGTGGTTACAAAAATCCTTAGCGAAGTGACCAATTGATAAAATTTCGTTGGACACAAAAGTCTCTCGAAAAGAAACAGTGGCGACATCTTCGAGAGGAACTTTGTGTCTAGGGAATTGCGATCTATTTTTAATTCTCACGAGTTGCTTTTCAAGCATTAGATTTTTTAAAACACCACATATGGAAGAATTATTTTCTAATACCATACAATTTTGAAAAATAACCAATAATTAAAATACTTATCGACACCACTTCGAGAATCGAGACATTAGTTGGAATGAGAGCCCTCAGTTATTATACATAGGGTTAAATCGATACCACCAAGGTATCGATACATTTACACGTTACTATTTTTGTATGAAGGTATCGATACTTACTCGGAATCGAAACAAAAGTATCGATACCTAATTGTATCGAATTATAATTTCCTACCTTGATACCCAACACAAAAGTTGTTTCTGCGTTGAGAAAGAATAAAATACAATATTATACTTTATATATTTATTTAAATATTTAATATAAAATTTAAAACATATAAACATAAACGTATGTATAAACTATCTACGATATACGTAATATAAGTCATTCATGATAAATAAATATGTACACCGACGAGCAAACTCGGCTTCCACTAGGGGAAAAAGTAACGTAGAGAAATGGCCTCCTACCATTTGGTATTTGGAATTACTGAAGTGTGTGTCAAATTAATATTCGATTTAACATTTATTTCACTACCTGGAAGAAATTTGCCAAATGGTAGAAGAAATGTCTCCTTATCGTTTCGTAAGTTTATTTCAAATAGTGAAATAAATGTTAAACTGAATGTTAATTTGGTACAAATTTCAGTAATTCCCGATACCAAGTGGCAGAAAGTTCTTCTCCCACGCCACATTTTCACCTGTGGAAACCGATTTTGCTCGTGAGGGTACATACATCTCACACACACACACACAGGGTTTCTTACGCATTCTCCGGGGGTTCTGTGACCCCACGCTCTCGTCTCACGGGGTCTCTGGCGCCTCCACCAGGGGTTCTGTGGCCCCGCGATCTCACCACACGGGGTCTCTCGCGGTTGCCCGGGGCTTTATGACCCCACATTCTTCCTCAACGGGGTCTCTCGCGCATGAACGGGGGTTCTATGACCCCACTTCCCCCTAACACGCCGTGGTCGCTTTCGCATGATCCGGGGGTCCTATTGTACATATAAGTATCCTATTCATATTAACTCACCTTGTATGATTGCACCGACGAAGCATATAAGGATAGACTTTTTATCTTATGGGAGTTGATGGCCCAACTAAACTGTAGTATCGACACTGTAAAAAGCTTGTGATTTTAATGACCTCTACGTTATAAGAACGGTGAATCTACAGTGGGTAATGACACCAATTAGTATTTTCAAAAACTACAAGATGGCAATAGTCATACATAAACTGTTTTATGCGACACTAGACGACACTATCAGGTACTGACAAGGTTGTGTTTGTGCTTTCGCGGCCGGTTATATAATATGTATATATTGAGAATTTCTCTTCACAATTTTCTTATGCTTTTGATAAAAGTAATTGTAAGTGTGCCGTTCTGTCACTACGCAAGGAAGCATGATTTAGCAGGAATAGTAAGTATACTCTAGCTCGTAGCTTTACACGCGACTCCATAAAACATAACAAAGTAAATTCGATCATATGACTGCCATCACGTCACATCCGTGTATTTAGGACTGCAATTCACATATACGTTGAGATGAACTCGAATTGCACTGTTGAGAAAACCGATGATATACTTCCATATACATATTTAATATGTAATGTTGAGATTCATACTTCTTTCAATCAATAGCCACAAATAAAATTACACAAGTTTCTAATTTTTAAAATTTCATACAAGGCAAAATTAAAATAGTTCCTGTTTGCGAAGCATAAATTTCCCAACTATGTATCATAAACGAAACACTACGGAACAATTGGTTACATTTGTATGTGAAATCTAACGGGTTTTATTATCTGACAAAAATGAAGAACGAGGAAGAAATTGTAATTCAACGATTGCTTCACGGCAAGCAGAATTTTCCGACAAGATACGCGGCGTTACATCATCGTAATTACATTACAACTACGATCTACACTCCTCTGTTCGTAATATACGGGTTCGTACGATAGACTTTGCACTTTACGTATGTACAACAATTGTCAAGTTTTATCACTGCAATCATTTTTATTCGTTCTATCTCTGTAATAATCAGCGCCGACATCAAAATGCTAACATCACCGTATCGCAGTGATGGGCAACCGAGCCCGCTTGGACATGTTGCCCGCACGGGCAAGTGGCGGGCAGCCGCGGGCTCCTGTGTGATTTTTCCACCGAGTTCTATTTTCCGCCACCAAGGTGGTGGGGGCGCCACTAAATGTCCCATAAATTCCCAAATTTTTCCGGCACTTTTCTGAATCCAAGATGGCGGAAAAACCTGCAATTTTGTGGCGCCCTGGTGGGGGCCTAGAGACCCCCACAAACGTGCAGGTTTTTCCGCCATCTTCGATTCAGAAAAGTGCCGGAAAAATTTGGGAATTTATGGGACATTTATGGGAAAATATGAGAAAGTCGGAGTGATAGGCTTAATAAACAACACATACGTACCACTTAAATGTTTTTTATTGAAAAAATCTGATGAAAATACACAATTTACAATAGTATTTGAATAAATTTCACAACAATAGCCTTAGATACTACAATAATTACAATATATTTGTAACAATATGTGCATAAATTCAGTACAACATGGCTGGAAATATTATTCAGACTTATAACAATAAAAATAATTCCCTCTTCTGTAACTAGTAAATCGTCCGTACGATGTTCAAAGCTTCGTATAGAATAGTTTCATACATTTGTCGTCGAAATTTTCATTCTTGGGGACATACGATAGATGTTGGACTCCTGTGGAGGGGTTGCGAAGCAGGACACATCACGAGTCACGAGTCGTGATTCACGACATATTTGTGTGTGAAGAAAATGATAGATACGTGCTCTCATTCACACATTTCACCCACCACTGCCATATGCCCGCATGCTGCACGTTGTTGCCCGCTATGTAGTGAGTTTGGCGGGCGCTGAGTTGCCCGTCACTGCTGTATCGTAACAGGTTCACGCAGAACAAATAAACATTTTTAACTAGCTTCGAGCGCTCGTCGAGTCCTACGACGATTCTCCATTACGTGAACGTATTAACCTCGTTCGTGCTATTAAGTAAGTCAGCGTGTACCACTGTTCGCGATACACGGTAAGGGCCCGTTTAATATGTAGGTACTACGTGAACCAGTGCCATTCGAGTAGAATCTTATCATTTGTTCAATCGAAATTTTTTCGTCGAGTAAAAGTAGACGTCGAGCTTAGAAACATCCAGCTAGAGAATTGAAATACTGGTCGAGCGAGGAAAACTGCGCGCGTATACGGAACAGGCTTACGTCAGCGTAATTAAAATGCAGGCAGAAATCACGCGAGCGTGTATTTCTGTAATATACCGCTGCTGGCCGCAGACACTGAAATAATGGAAGATGAATTTGACTTTCGTCCAATATTCAGCGGTGTCGTATGCGTGCTCACGTTCGCGTGGCCACGCGTTCCGAATAAAGAGAACGCGTGTATAGATAGAATGCTCGACGCGTAGGGCTGCATCCATGCACGCGCTCGTCGAACACACACACGAGCGTGTGCTTGCGCGCGAGCCGTGCATCTGCGTAAAAACCTTGTCGTAGCGGTGGCAAACTGTTGCATAGAAAGATTAAACGGTGTTTAAGAATAACGTTGATGAATGTAATAAATTTGCATGGCATAATTGAAGGGCGTTATTACTTAAACCTATCGCTAATAAATTACCAGCTGGTACAAGGAAAGTAGTCTCGGTAACTTCCTACTACTCTGCCTCCTTTAATTATTCTACTCTGTGTCTGTTAAACGTCAAATTATCTGCGTGAAGATCTTAATAGTGTCGTTCTTCGATTTATAGACGGGACACGTTGTCTCATTCGCCCACTGCAACTAACGTGTTTACAGTCCGCCAAACAATTTGTGGTTGTAGAAACCATAATTACTGGACAATCACGCTTATGATTACCGGCGAGCAATAGCATTTTTGTTTACTCACGATTGTACACCACGTAATCATGAAGCAATTACGCGTCGAGTGTGTGCCGCGTATTCGTGTAAATGCTGATTACTCGACTTTGCCGATACGAGCTGTGTAATTGCGCTCGTGTTTTCTCCCGTTCTGTAGTTTCAACGATTCCAATCGTTAGGCATAGTAAGTAAGTAAGTATGTATGTATGTATGTATGTATGTATGTATGTATGTATGTATGTATCTATGTATGTACATACATACATATATTGCTTTTGTAATATCGAGAACGTGTGGTGTAGATACCAAATCGTTATACTATGAAGAGTCAGTATAAGATGAAATTGTGTCCTGTTTGAAAGATTCTAGAGTAAAAGCAAGAAAAACTGAATAGAAGAAAGTTCAACGGCTATAACGACGCATAGCAAATACCAATGGAAAATATTTGTTTCTTAGATATTGTTGATGCGTCGACGAATATTTCTTGACCGCAAAGAAAAAACAGGAATGAATTCTAGAGCGTGTTTTCCGACAATGTTGAAAATTGTTCAGCAAACAGTGCAAGTTAGTAAACGCTGATGCAACACCGTTGGCAGCTGCACCGAATCCTCGCCTTCCGATATTCATCGCGAGTATTGGCACGCATCGAGGCATCCTTATCGAGCGCAACCAGCAGCGACATACCATAGCATAGCACAGCAGAAAGAACGAGGAAAGAGAGAGAGAGAGAGAGAGAGAGAGAGAGAGAGAGAGAGAGAGTGCATAAGCGTGGAAAGGGCAAAGAGAGACGGGAGGTTGCAAAGACGATGAAACACACAGCGAATATCGGAATGGAACGGAACGCACCCTCGTGCTTCGAGGAACAGATTCGAGTGCACGGGCGTCACCGCGTCTCCGCCGAAGTTGTG